GGATTTTGATTGCACCAACCCCCTTTTTCCATCACCATGGGTGCTTTGAAGCAGGTGCAATCAGCTGGTTTAATGGTGTTTGTGCAGCAAGAGTCCGTACTTAGGCTGTCTGAGCTGGTGTAACGGTTCAGTGCTGCTCAAAAGGGTGAGCTTACCTTCTGCCTTCAGCTGGCTCTAGTGGTTTATTTGTCCCCTTTGCAAACAAGTTCAGCTCATCCAACTGCCAGGAAAAAAAAAAACAACAAAAAACAAGCAAGTACCAAAAAACCCAAATACTTTGTCAGGCTTGCTTGCTTCCCTAAGAGCCAGAGCTGGTGTGGGGGTGGGAGGCAGGGAGGGGAGCAAGGTGTGGAACAGATCTACCTGTTCTCATGGCAGCAAGCTTTTAAATTGTCTTAAAGCTTCTAAGGAAAACTCTGCCTTCTGTGGTACTCCCTTTGGTTGACACTTGTTAATGACAAGGGGCTCTGCAGCACTCCAGCCTGCTGACAGCGCTAGCAGCAAGCCAGCCACATGCAGGGCTATGATGGAAAACAACTGAAAGTAGTAAAATGTTCCTTTTCTATAGATGCAATTTCTGCAAGTAGTGTTCTGGTTTGAAGAACCCACAACAATTTATTGTCCTTTAGACAATTATTGTCTCACCCAGTGACCCCTCCCCACCCAGGAGGGGATTGGGGAAAAAGAAGGAAACCCAAGGGCTGAAATATAAGCAGATTTAACAGAATAATACTAAATAATTAACATTAATAATACTAAAGAACCGATATTGATCCTGATGCCAATATAAAATACACAAGGACTATCCCCAGCCCGTTCTATCTGTAGAAGCTGTGCACTCCCAGCAGTGACAGCCAATGTGGGGCACCACGAGCACTGCGGCTTCAGGAGGAAGGGAAGGGCTCAGGGCTCCGGCACCGGGGTGAGGAGTTCTCTGGACCACCACCATCACAGGAGAGAGAGAACTCCTCAACAAACTTTCTAATTTCTATGGAATGTGCCATCCATGGTATGAAATAACCCTGTTGGCCAGCTTGGCTCAAGTGCCCAAGTCTTTCTCCTCCTCATCCCCACACCTGGTGAGCTCGAAAACACTGAGACCTTCAACCCCACACACCGTAGCTGTCTATAAAGCCAATATTTTCACAAATTCAGGCATTAGCGTCTAAAAGTGCAGTTTTCCCTAGCATTAGAAGAGACCTTACTGAAAAGTAAAATTATTGAAAGAGAAATTAGAGAAATCAGTCCTGTGTTGCTCAAATCAAGACGTACTGGGATCGAGAACACCCAGCGTGCTTGTTGTTGAAGCTCTTTCTCTTCTGACCTTGAAGATCTGACAGCAAAGTATCCCAATAGCATGGGCTGCCCTGTAATGAGCTCCCTTGACAGGAGCCCTTGACAGGTGGCCTTTCTTGGCCACCTTGGGTCCTACCTCCTCCCTCACAGTGCCCCATACACGCTTCTGTACGAGGGCGAAGGCCTGCCAGCCCCCTTGCTTCGCCATGGGCATGTACGAAGAGGTAAATCTGCGTGGAAGCTCTGGCCTCACGTCACGAGCGTTTCGCTGTCGCCACTAAGGCCTCTGCTCCTCGAGTCGCCGCCATTAATGAAAGCGGAGGGTCGGAAAAATGAGGGGGAAAAGCGTTTGAAAAGCCGCGGAGGCCACTGAGGCGGCGGGGCGGGCCGCGTTGCCATGGCAACTCCCGCC